TCTATGTAAATATATAATTTAATTTTATATAATTTCCATGTATCACAAAATATTGTTCTTCTTTTGATATTTTTCTCAACCCGTTAAAAATGTAAAATGTAAAACCATTCTTCGCTCAAGAGCCGTACAAACACAGGCAGGAGGCTGGATTTGGTCCACAGGCCATGGTTTGCCAACCCCTGCTCTAAAACCTTATTCAGCATAAGACTGCGTGGGATGGTCCCAACAAATAGATACACAGAACAGGCAATAGTACGGTCCCTGGTTTCCAGTTTGCCCAGGGCCGCACAGCTAGGGAGAAATGGAACCGGGATGGGATCAGATCTGCCTGGCTCCAAACCCCAAAACAGTGCTGCAGCCAGCTACCTCCCCCATCAGTGACCCCAGCCCTGGGCCAACTCCTTCCTGCCAGAACCTATTCCCAGAGCTCCCCTCTGTACTCAGCCTGCTTCAAACTGCCCCCACCCAAGGCCAGGGGCTGCCATGGTCAGACCAGCACTAACAGAGAAAGAGCAAACCCAGCTCCTCCGGCTCCTACCAAGAGGCCTTCGAGTCTCCAGCCACAAAGCCATGTACTTGCTGGATCAAGCACCAATTTCCCACACTCGAGGAGTTGTTCATTGGTGTATGGATGGAGCTCAAACCCACCTGCCGCCCTCTGCTGAAGCTCAATCCCCAGGCATCTCTGATTATCAATCTGCTCTCTCCTGATATGTGACCACAATCACACCTTTCCTTTTAAGTCATCTTTTGAGGAGTTCTATACTCTTAGAGGACAAGACCAGCAACAATAACGAAATCACTACTGTTGGAAACAAGAAACCTTGCTACGACAGGAGCCCAAGCATCCAGCTGAAAGAGCACACCATTTGGAAAATGATGACTGGAGTTTAAGAGCTGCTCTGCCATGAATTACCTGAACCTCTTAAGGTTTTTAGCTTCTCAGCTGACAATGAGGTTCACTAGCTTCAATGAGAAGACACATGTAAATGTGCTATGCAGACTGTTCTACAAATACTAGTTAGTCATGCTATTAGCAGGCTTGTACTATGTCAAACAAACACTGGAACTTGAGTCAGGACTTTCTCAACCCTATTCAAAATGTGGTGTTCATCATCTTCTACAGAAACTCTAAGGCAATGTTTTCAGATTTTTTTTTTCTCCAAGCCTTACTTTCTTTCTTGCATGAATGGGAAAATGAATTCATTATAAATTCGCCTGGCACCAGCACAAATCCAAAGTGTGGCTTGAAGTGACAAATGATAGGATGTTTCCACAGGGGCTTGTGGGAGCTGGCAGCTCAAGCACAGGAGCGAGGCCCAGCCCCCTCAGCAGGGGCATCAACAGCCTCTGCACAGCACCAGGGCTGCCGCCTGCACTGAGTGCATCAGAAAGCCGCCAGCAGCACCGGTTCCCAGCCTGGCCAGGCTGTGAAACTCCACGGACGCCGGGTACACACCTTACCCTGCCTTTATGGGAACTTAGTCACCTAGACAAGAATCCTTTCCTTAGGTTCTGACTAGTGGCTGTTCTGAGCTTTTAAAAACCCTGTGTGCATTGCCTGGTCCAATCTATCCATTTTACTTACGGGAAAACTGAAGCCCACAAAGTAAAGGTGATTTGCCCAAAAGTTATGTAAGCCCTGGTTTTAGTATTTTAGGGTCAACCAACTGTACTCACAATCTAATCCTTCCAATAAACATTAACACTAGGTAGGTATTGCGGTCATCTGCATTTTGTTGATGAAGAAAGAAAAGCCCAGAGAAACTAAGTGATTTGCAAGGTTACACGTTAAGAAGTGGCACCTTCTGGTTCCAAATATCATATTTTCTCCACCATTGCATACTGCTCGAATCCCTCAGTAATGAGATGGAATTAAAACTTGTCTCACAGAAGAGACAGGGTATGTGTGAAAGTATGCTTGAACCAAAAACTGCTTGACTGCTGGTTCCCAACATTTTGAAAATAAGGACCTATATTAGTTATCTTTTGTTGGGAAATAAACCACCTCCTTAGCTTATAAATGTCCTCACATGGTGAGATAACTGCAGATAATAACAGTACCTACCACATGATTATTATGAAAAGTAAATAAACTAGTGTAAATAAGATGGAGAATGTTTGTAGTCCACAGTAAGGATGCATGAATGTTAGCATCTTTCCATTCTCTCCAAAATCCTACTTGCTTAAGCAAATATAAAATATTTCCACTGGAGTCAGACTAAATTGTTAAGCCTAATCTTAAAGGGTGGGTAACTGCACCCCTGAAATTATATGCATAATTTTGTATAAATATGTATATGTTTTTCTTAGGTTAGAAGCCATTACTTTCATGAGATGCTTAAAGGAGTCTCTAAAAATGTCCAGAATGTCTAGGGATCATTGGCTGGTCAACATCTCAACAGCCATTACCATTCTCACTGGTTCCTATACACACTGCCTTCCCATCAGCATACACACCAGTGATTCAAATATGCTTCTTCTTAAAGAGGTTATTAGAGTCTTCATTCATTCATTTATGCATATTCATTAGTGCAAAAGGCAATTGTTTGTACTGACTCTACATCTGACCTTGCTAATAAGCCCAGGGTACAGAGACACACAGACAGTGAGATCATTCAAAAGGCAATTACCTGAACTGTGATGAAGGCTTAAAGTGACCATAACATTTGAAAAGGGAATATGCCAGCAGCTGAGCAACAGCTTTAAAATCTGCTACTTTCAACAACAACAAAGTTTTTTCTAAGGCAGGGAGATCACTCAATAGGGAACAGAAATGTAACAGAATGTTTTCTGTTTAAATGGACAGAAGCTAAGGAAAGAATCTCTCCAACTCTCCCACCTATCTTTCTTGCCTCTTTTAGTTTTTTTTAACCCAAAATCTTCCCTTTATGTTCTAGATTTTCTTTTTTAGCTCAGTGCGAATTGCAGACTCTTGGAATATTTGAACTGGGAGGTCCCCTAATCCACAGACACCAATTATAAATTAGGTCTAATATTGAAAATATCCAAGAGCAAGTGTCTCACTACCTTGAGAGCCCCAGCTTATATTTGAATGGGTCTAGGTAGTAATTTCTTCCTTGTTTTGAGCTGAAATATGCTCTTATTTTTACCTCACAGTTCTAATTCTACCCTCTGGGGTCATATATGTCTCCTACCTCAATATTTTTCATTAATGGGTTATCAAATCAATTTTGGAATTATATTCAGCATGATTTACTTATATATGTTATTTATTTGTTATTATCATATATATTTGTCCCTATAAATATATATATTTATTTAATGAAATCAGAATATAATAAAAAGTATCAGAGTTCATAACATATGAGAGACAGGTTTTGTTTTTCAAAGTTTTGTTTCAATTGTTTATAGATTTATGTAAATGTGTACTAGATTGTGATATTGAATGTATTTCTTAGTATAAGTTACTACTGAAAATGTTAAAAACCACCAGTTCCTTTAGATAATTTAAGACTGCTGTGTCATGGAACCCCATGTCTTCTGTAGTCCAGATTCAATATCCCAGTCTCCTTGAACACCCCTCATTTTCTCTGTTTCCAATCCCTTCCAGACTTTGGTCTCTCTCCTCTGACTATGCTCTGTCTCACATGTTCCTCCTGGAGTGCACAGAACGAGCCAGGACAGGTCTGGAGGCAGAGGGACTATGCACCTCAGGGCATGGAGACGGGCAGGAGGCCTCCCTGCGTCAGCGTCTGCCAGGTTCTCAGGGGCCCTCAGCAGTGGGGCGCCACAGTCACTGACTATCAGCACAAGCTTCCAGGAAGTGTTTGTAGGAGGCTCTGATTCAAAAATACATAATGTACAGCTACTCTACCAGGTCTCAGGCTGGTGCCGAGAGAGAGAGGGAAGACCACTGTCCTGTGCACTCCTGGCCCACGTACACCCATTAGCTCCCTGAACCTGTGAGCTAAAAATCACCTCATTTTACAATCAGAAAACCAATGATCAGAGAACAAGACATGAAACTTCCTGGTGCATTTTAGAAGTTGTCATGAAATTTGTAATAATTGGTCAACAGAAAACCTACAGTGATGTGGGTAACAGGGCAGTAGCTCTCACTTCACTTCTATAGCACTCAGCCATTCTCCTTCCCTTTATCCCAGTCACCCAGTGATATGTACCACCTCTAACTGGGGTCCCAGCATTAAATCCAATGCTATTTTCATGGGCCTTTTGCCTAATGCTGCCAGTTTTGTCCAGACACTCTGAAGCAAACTGCTCTTTATCTTCTCTGCTTCTTAAATTCATAAAAAGATTCTAAGGTGCTAATACTCTATCCAGCCATCCTCTTATGGCCAAGATGGCATTAGCCATTGTGATTCCAGGATAAGGTGGATTCCTCCCACAAACAGCCAACAAATTTGGGCCAAGTTGTAAACACTATTTATATCAACCTTTGCAGCTGAGTCTATGGTCAGGGTGCCAGGGAATATATGAGCAAATCAGGCAGTCTTAATCTCTGCAGCATGTGGAAGGAAATAAAGACCACCTTGACTGATGGTCGGCTAGATAGTCTGAAGAGGATTAAGTCTGACGGCAACAGAAACGGCTGGGGAGCCCAAATGAAGACAGCCCGATGAGGTATGGCCTTCAAACTTTAAACTTCTAATCTCTAAGGACCAGAGTGACTTTGTAAGCAATTCAAGAAGAACACCATTCACTCAACATATCATAGGATCCTGAAATCCTAAGAATGTTTTCCTGAGGCCAGAAAACGGAAAGGAGTGCAGTGGTGCCCACTGTGTGGTGACTGCAGTTGCAGCAGACGGTGCACTGCGACTTTGATAACTCAGTGCCATGGATGTATTACAGGCCTGATGGCATTTGCAGGCGTTGACAACTGCCCAAACTCATCCTCTGAACGGAGAGCTCAACAGATAGAAGCAAGCCGCTAAACATATCCACGCAGTCACCCAAACCAGCAGACTGGTAAAGTCAAGCCCAGAAACAAATGGAGTTTAATCTCTGGAGTTTACCTTAAACACCGTCACTGGATTTTTGAGGTGATTCTGCAACTTCCTCACTGCCCCCACTGTTTTTCTTCCTTCAGGGGTTTGTCTTTTGATGATAAACTCTACTTGCAGTTGCAACAAATAAAAAGTGAACTTCCAGATGGACTTCTCAAAGTGCAATCCAATTACAAGGGAAACAAGAAATCCAAAAGTCAAAGGCGAGTGGGAGGTTTTCTTCTCCCCCAGATCTCTGGGGAGTCCAATTCATTCAACAAGCTCACATTCTGGTTTCATTTCCATTTTCTATAATAAGAGATGAAGATGTAATATGTCAATGTTGATGTATCAGAGAGATGATGAATTCCAGGCTAAAACACAGCGACATCTGCTTGGAAACGAGATGGAAGAAATTAAGATGCTTACCATGATTATTTTCCTCCCGAGCAAATTTATAGTATCTTTGGTCTCAAGGGCAGAAATTCCAGACAGATTAGCTTTTCATCTCCTAGGTAACTCTCTGAACCGCGTAGCTATAGAAATTCATTGCTTTAACACTGGTTGTCCTTATTAAGAAAATATCTTAAATTCTGTACCAACAAAGAAACTCATTGACTACTAAGCAGTCATGAAAATATTTATGACATGGATTACAAACAGGTGCTTCAAATAGAACAAAAGCTGGGGTTATTCACCACTTGGACTAACTGGAAAAAAAAATTATTTACACCTAGCAGAAGACATTTTATGCTTTTGGTAAATGTTTTTTCTGGGTTATTTGTCTTCATATTCTAGGAATGGTAAATTTGCTTAAGCACCAGACAGAACTGGCAAATGAAGAACTATGTAAACAAGAGGGGCTAGAGCTATAGAATTGCCTATATGCCGGCAAATTATGCGGCAAAGATGTATCCAGGCCCTAGGACATGCTTGTGTTTGGCACTGGAGATGCAAAAATAAATACAACATGACGTCTGCCTAGTTCAAAATTTGATTTATTTATTCTTTTTTTATTGAGGTATCATTGATACACAATCTTATGAAGGTTTCACATGAGCAACATCGTGGTTACTACACTCACCCATATTATTGAGTCCCCCATCCACACCCCATTGCAGTCACTGTCCATCCGCATAGCAAGGCTTTATTTATTCTTTATAAATGTCTTAGGAAGCTTTGAAGGCATAAGGATGCCCATTCCATAGATGAGAAACCTGAGGAGGTCACATACCAGGAAAAGCCAGTCAAGACTGGCACCCTACCCTTTTTTCTTCAAGTCCAGCATTCTGCCTACCCCTCGTACCCTGGCGTGACTGAGATGAGATTCACAGCAGGCTTGGATAACCCCAGGGCCTGAGCGTCTGAGGACATCAAAGCTGGCTTTTGACCCAATAGAAACATCTCAATGCCTTCCATTTTCATTTTCATTCAGTTTAGCACCATGTAGACACAGCTGTGGTCTCAATCAGGACTAAGTGATACTTTGCAGGAATTACTGAAATGCTCATTGAAAAGCTCTTCTCTTCTAATTGTATTTTGAAGTGATCCAGTGGTGGAAACGGTTTGGGCCTTTTCAAAGCAGCTTCTCTCAGAACTTAAGCAACAGGAGTTGTAAAATGTTCCCAAAAATATTGCTTGGCATGAAAACCTCTTTCAATGCAAATGAACCATTGATAAACAGGAATTTGTTAAGAGAGACAGGAGCTGGGGGTGAGGCTCATTAGCCATTTGGTTGTCAAGGAGGGGAAGCTGCCAGAGAAGCAGAGATTGTAGGGAAACACCTTTGGCAAGTGAGGGGGAGCGGTGTGTGTGGGGGTCTAAACGACAAGAGGTCATTTACAGTCAATAAGGTTCAAAGAGGCCATTTTACATCCATCCTAGGAACTGCTGATGTGAATTTTTTTAATATTGGAAGAATTAATATGTGACTACTCCAAAATAGCCATGATGAAATGGAAACAGCTTAATAAAATGGAAATGATTTTAGGGTCAGAAAAGCTAGATGGGAGGATTCCCTCCCCTGTTAGTTGTATGAACTTGGTTAAGTCATTGAACTCTGAACTGCCATTTCCTCATCTCCAAAATGAAGATAGTAATTCCTACCTTGTAAGAGGATAAGTATGATGATGGATTTGGAAGTTCTTATTAAATTGTAGAACAGTGTATGGATCCAAGTTTTCCTTTTCTATTTAGACAAAAATTCAAATCCAAATACAGTGTTGTTGAACATCTCTCTATGCTCAAATATCATTCATCACTAATTCCATCTAACCCTTAGTTGTCCCTGCCTCAATCACGCTGTGTATTTTTTTCTGAGAATCCACATTCAGAGTGCCTCCTGTGGGTGCTCCCTAAGGCTTCAGGTCTGTGATCAGACCTGGGAATGTTTGTTGCATCCCGACTTGGGAGAGCAAGGCCTTCGATTAGTCTTCCCAGCACTGTTACATGCAAAAGGCCTCACGGCAATGCAAGCATACGTCTGACAGCCATCCCCAGCTTGACACTTGACGTCTAACCTCTCCAGTCTGTTCCTGCCCCAGAGTTCCTCTCATTTCAACTCCACTCGCCCAGTTGCTCAAATCAAAAGAGTGGGGTCACCTTGGACTCTACTATTCCATCTCCCCATCAATATCCAATCCATCCCCCAGAACTGTCACTTCCAGTTTTAAAATATATCATGCAGACACCATCTCTCACCTCCTCCACCAGGGCCAGCCTACTCAACCCACAAACATCCCTTGTCTGGAATACTGCCAGAGTCTTCACCTGTCTCCCTCACCCTGTTCAGTCTACTCTCCCTATAACAATCAGAGCGATCCATTAAAGATACTACCGCAAAGACCTCGGATGGTTTCCTGTCTCATTAAGAATATAGGCCAAAGTCTTTACTATGGCCTACAAAGCCCCAGCTAAGCAGATCTGGCTTCCACTACCTCTCAGCTTCACTTCCTTCCATCTCCTCACTTTACTCCAGCCACCTTGGTGCTCCACCCCACCGATCACCGCCCTGCCTCTAGAAGCTTGTGCTTGTCATTCCCCTTGCCTGGGTCATTTTTACCCCAGGTATTCACATGCTTCATTTTTTCACTTTACCCAAGATTCCACACAAACATCCCTTCCTTGGAGAGGCCTTCCCTGATCACCTCTGCTGCTTATTTTTCTTCTTAGCACTTATTTATATTAAATAATACTATTACACTTTTTATACATATTATATACAATAATTTTATATACTATAATTATATATTCTTGTTTATTGTCTGCCTCCCTGCTGGAATGTAAGCTCTGCAGGACAGGCATTTAGTCTCCTTAATTTATTGCCATATCCCCAACATTTAGACTGAACTGGTACATCACAGATGTTTTTAAGAGGCTGTGTGATGCCTCGTTGAGCCCCTCAGGAGACCAGAGCTGCCTTTCAGATGGGGGCATTCTTAGTCCTGTTTGGTGGATGGTATACTCCAGGGTTTAGAGAGGACCATGTACCAACCAAAAGGCCTTCTGCCTGAGCTGAGGAGTAAGGAGGAGTGACTAAAGAAGGCAGATCCCGGTGGACACCAATACAGTCAGGACAGGGGGCCTTGACCTCCAGTTCCCATGGGGTCTGGAGAACCCTCCTTAGAGTAACAAAGGGTTGCTAAATTCAGGGGCATATTCCCCAAGCCCAGTTCTCTTAAAGCCAATTTCATAAAAGATTGAATATGGTGATTGAATGTGGTCTCTGGATTGGCATAAGCCTGAGACGGAGGGACTTGCCCTAAGTAAGCAGCCAGACTGAGGAGAAACTTGTACTTCCATCTCTTGCTTTGCTGACATATTTTTAGTCTATCATTTCCTGGGGGCCTGCTCCACGCTGGGTTTTGTGTTCAACAATATACACATACTATATCATTTATACTATTTAAGAAATGAGATATTATCCCTATGTTACAAGTGAGAAAACTGAAGTTCACAGGGGTTAAATAATTTGCCCAAAGTTATAGAGATAGAAAATAGAAAAATCAAGATTTTAACCAAAGGGGTTCAGAACATGCCACCCCAACATATGCTACTTTGGCATATTGATTATTTTGAGCTGAAGGCACTTGAGAAACAGCAGATACAGAAGGGGCTCTCAGACGTCCCCCTTCAACCTAAAAACAGGTTACACAATTTCCCGTAAGAAATGTGACCCCCTGCACCAGGAAGAGAGCAGTCTTATCACCAAAATGGATCTGTACAAACAAAGCTACTAAAATAATCCTTATCTTCCACTAGTTTCCCCCACTTATTTCCTAGTCACTCTTCCTTAACTTACTGCCCCTAGAAACTTAGATGTGTTTTCCCTTTTCCTGTCACTTTTCCACAAATATATCATTCTTTGTTAAAAAAGGTGTATAAACTCTCAGTCCTAAATGTTTCTTAAGGTCTCATTTTTCTTATGAAGTTTCCTACATACATGTGAACATACTGAATAAAATGTGTATCCTTTTCTCCTGTTCTTCTGTCCTATGTCAGTTTAATTCTCTAAGAGGTAAAGGACAACCTAAGAAGGTAAAGAACAATTTTTCCCTCCCCTGTAGAACCACACTCTAAACAGTGCTACCTCCCTAATACTTTTCAACTGAATTGAATGTTCCTGCAGTAGCCCCCAGCTGTCGGTAAGTTGGGCCTCTGGCTTGGTTCCTGCACTGTGAACAGATTCTGCAGAATTTCTAGAGCCGATAAGCACAGACACGGACCACAGGGACCACTCCAGGGACCTCTGGTGGCTGCTGCCTTGGACACGCAGGAGGCCAGGAGAGGTTTACCTCCTCTCAGGCCCTGGGAGGGTCTCCCATTGGCCCAGCCTGAGTGGGTATCACGGGATTCACCCACAGAAAAGGTGAACTTTAGCTTTATTCATGACTGTGAAACTCTTCAGGTTTCACTTCCTAGGGACTGCTTCTTTCTCTAATTCTCTTGAAATCTCTCAGTTTATCAAAACTGGTCACCAGGAAAGTGTTTGTAAACATCCTTCAAGAGGGCTGTCCTTGGGCTAGAAGCAACATCCAAACCCCAGAGGTGTAGCAGATCCTCTGAAGTGGGCAAAGCAGATGAGCCAATATTTGCCTACACATCCTAGGAAGGAGACATTTTCAAACAGGCACCACCTAAGCCTTGATAAAGGCACTTCTCTCCTGCGTTGTGAGAGGCCGGTCCTGTCCCTTCTGCGCCTCCAAATCCTAGCGCATACCGAAGCGAACTGTCTTTGCCAAAGATGGAATAAGTGACAATCCAGGATGAGACATTCAGATTTCATACAAATATGAGTTCTTGTGACCTCC